CATGACTTCCACCCTGTCTCCATAGCTGCCTGCTACAGCCACTGAGCCAGAATAGCAACCGTGGCTCCCGCAGGCCACTCGGCCAGCTCTGCTGACCCATCCTGGCTGGCTCTGGTGGCCAGAGCTGGGATGCAGCCGCCTCCTGGAGCAGCTGCTGGGCCACATTCCTCACTCCCCTGGGCAGCCACACTCCTGATTTCTGCCCTTGGCCAGGTAACTGCAGAGCACAGGGCCTGGATACCTTCATCTTCTCCTTCTGAGTTATGCTCRTTTTTAACCTGCCTCGAGAAGCTTTTCCTGTTTGCCCCCAGGACTGGTACCTGCAGGAGAGAACAAGCCGTGGTGTAGACTGCCTTGGTTTCCTTACTTTATAAACTCACTCCTGATGACAAACTAGCCTTTTCAGTTGTCTTTCTAATGGATAAAGTGTAAAGTCAAACTACCCTTTTCAGTTGTCTTTCTAATAAAGTGTAAAGTTATTTTTTTTCTAAGGAAGCAAATGAGATTAGGAATTAATTTCTTTAAAATGTGAAGCAAAATAATCTCTTACTTAAAAAACAAAAAAAAGCAAATCTTTTAAGGCAGGAATATAAGAATAAACGTCATGTTTTCTTCATTAAGAATGTTTAACTCAGGAATTACTGCTGAGTCACTGTGACATGCTTTTGAAGGTAAAAATGCAGCATGAATGGGGTACAATGCACAWGTAGAATTGCAAGTTTTTAGTCCAAAAGCTTTTGACTCACCACATGATATTTTCAGAGTTTAGAGGAACTCACGTAACTCCTGCACAGAATTCAGTCTCCTCAATTTTTTTTCTTTTAAATGCAGTGAACTTCACAGTGAATTTTTCATACTTTCAAGTAGAGAAGTAGGCAAAATTTTGTTCTGTCAACCAGGAAAAGGTACAGTGGTGATCCTGCTCTCAAGCATTATTACTCAAAGCACAGAAGGGAGCACATGACTGTACACTGACCTTCATCTGTTCCCAAATTATGCCTTTTAAAAGCCTTGAATCTGTTTAAGGGGAGCTGCTGAAACCTGAAACGAATGTGGTCTATTGCTTTATAAAGTAGATGAATGTAGAACTTAAGTATTACATTTCAGGTTCTGACTGTACTAAATATAGCAAAATTAGGATGAGGGAGAATAGAACTGTAACTTGAGACTGGTTTTAGAGAATTATTTTTTGTTACAGGTACCAATGGTTGCTCTGTAAAATTTAGTGTGTTTCTAACAAAAAACCATTGCAAATTCACAGAAGGAAAATGTTTTCCTCAMAAAGACTTCTTTTTAAAAGCAGAGTCCTTAAAAAAAATTAACAGCCCTTCAGCCCGCAAAACACACCCCCACAAACAGCTAACCAGTTCTAACAGACCCAAGTCTAAAAAACATTTTGAAATACACCTTGCATCTAAAATTTCATTGCTTGCACTCTGCTTGATTTTCATCAGGATATGTTTAATAAGGACTAAACACATCATCTTGAGTATTAAAGAGAAAATTACACTTAATTAGAAAAGTAAGCAGTGCATAACTGAAGAAAGCATCTTTTGCTGTGTGCCTAACACAACAGGTCAGAATTACATAATACTTATGAGCATCACTTCAATAAACTTGTTCAATAATTACAATGGAGAAGATGTAATCAAGGAGTTTTACTTTTCTTCATTCATTTTTAGGAAACTTCATTGTTGTTTCTATTGACATAATAAACCCTTGCAATGAGCTCTGATAATGTTCACCTGCACSTTTCAAATCTAACTCCACAGCACAAGAACAATAGCAAGCTCATGACTTTCCAATAGAAAAATGGCTTAGAAATTAAGAGATTTCTTGACAAACTTGCAAATTTTTGACAGTTTTAAGACAGGAACTGTAACACTCATTAAGCATTTAATATGCCTGTAAAATCACAGAAACTTTCAGATTGTAAGAGACTTTTGGAGACCATCTGATCCAATCTCCTGTAAAGTCACGCTAACTTGTAAGTTAGGCCTGATTTCTCAGAGCCTTGTCCAGTCAAGGTTTGGATTTCTCAAGGTTGGAGATTCCTCAGTCTCTCTGGGCAAAGCATTCCAGGACTAAACTATTGTCCAGGGGCATGTCCTTGTGCTCTGGGTTTTCCTTCTGTTACGATTTAAACCTAAATATGGTAAGAAATGCAGCTTCTTTTGTCTATGTTGACACTTAGTTGACTTTTGACAGTGAAGRTTGTGAAGGTCTGCCCTGGCTACAGTTTATTGTGTGACCAGTAATAAATTGAACATCACTATTTTTGCCTTTAAGTGGCAGGGAGGGATTGGGATTAAGCAATTATTTGTTCACCATAAATTACAGAGGTGACTTCAGGACTGATACTCTAGTTCTGAATGGTCTTGACCTTAAGCAAGCTCAGGAACCATATACTGTAAACTCATGCTCAGATCTGCAATAACTAAAAGAAAGAAAAGAAAGAAGAGTGATACCAATTCTGCCATTTTAACTTGTGCTAGAGTTAAAGCAGCCTGTATATGGTTAAATGATCTTGCCCTASTGCAATATATAGTGAGATTTTAAAAGATGACTCACACCTAAGGCAAATGAAGTGACTACTGCAGTCCTCGTGTTTTTGTCTTTGTATAATTTAATCAGCTGTTCATCTGAACAGTTGGAAAGGATACATTTMCACAACAATAACTTCACCTCTCTTGGTAAATATTTTCCTGTATCTTCTGATATAAATCTATTAAATATTGTTTTACATTGACCTAATTTGGAATGAGATAGAACACTGGGGTCCCAAAGGAAGCCAGCACACAAGCTCTCAATTCACTGTCATGCAGCAAGGAAGTCAGTCTTAAGCACATTTATYTGTGCTGCTGAAAGAGGATGACAAATAAAGATACGGGTTAGGCACAATATCTGTTTTTGCATGATTACACAGTTTTTTTTAATTCATCATCACTAAATTCATTATATACATAAACTTTATGTAAATATATTACATATGCGCTCTTTACATATCTGGCATTCCAATATGCTCAGTTTAGGTAAACAGCCCTGTTACAAAAGCTTGTAGCATTTAACAGTCTTAGAGCACTTTCACAAGTAGTAAGTTATGAGTACCTACAAAAAAGTATTATGGAAAAGGGATCTTAATTTCAGAAAACATCCACCATCTTCCTCAAGCAGAGACACACACTAGGAAATCCTGACCAACAGAACCTGTGTCCCAGAAACCTTTGCTCTTCTTCAATATTTATCCTTCATTCACAGTAAYGAACCTCTAAGAGCTCTCTAAGTGTGGAGTCCTCTAAAATCTTCAGCAACTAATAAACATAACTCTTCCATATAACAAGCATCACAGCCATTAAAATACAGCAAAATGTAGGACTTTAATGCATTATAAAGGATTTTGTATCTGACTAAGGTATCCGATGATAACTACCTTCATATTCACAAACAAAATTTATGCAAAGCCATGGATTTCCTATACAGAAAGTTCACATTCGCTACCTTTGGTATCAAAAGCTGCAATGAATTTCCTTGTGAAAGAGTGTTAGACATTCTGCAGTTCAACAGTAGTCACTAATAAGTTTGGGTGGCAGCTGTTGTACATCTGAAGCTAACAAATGTTATGTGACCAGAGATGACTGGCATGACATGTGGCTGTAGCCTTTTTATAAAGTTATGTTCTCAACTATTTTAAAAATGTCCACAAAAGCCCTTCAGAAATACTGTTCCCAAGAAGTTCATGGAAAAGTGATCCTTTAATACTTACCCCACTCAGTTAGTTGCATATATTCACACATTATCACAGAGTGATAAACTAAAGTTTAAWCAAAAATAATCAAACAAATTCATCTGGAAGTCATGTTCTCAGCACTATGATTTGAGTCTGGACTCACTTGCTTGAATGGGCATATATTAAATTTCCAGCAATCAATTATCATTTCAGCCTTTGTATCATAAATTCAGGCACATGCCCATATGGACAGACAAAGTGCAAAGAACTGTCTTCCAGGCAAATTCCAAAAGCAAGTGTGAAGTTCAGTATTGAAATATCACTCCCTTTTCTGTCCTCATTCTCAAGCAGTGCACGCATTTTTAATCTAACTAATACTTTCCCAGTTTTCCTGAAAATTTTACCTTCATTATCTTTACAAAGACAAAAAGTGTTGCTAATATTCTGTATCCCTCCCAGGTACCTACACACATGTTAAGACTCAGGTCACAGAAGACTTGTGTAAGGATTYAGAGGGCTCCAACAGAGAAGTATTTTCCAAAAGGCAACTGATTTCATTTAATACATATGAAAAACACATCTSTTAATGTGGTTCTGATTATGTCACAATTTCTTTTGCCAGTCRTGTTTTGCTACATTTTTTACTTTTAAAAGGCTTAGAAAAGCWTTTTCTTGGAAAAAAGTTGTTACCCTTGCTTTTTATTATTATCTTCTAGTACCTGAAGTGATGAATTAAATATTAATACTTTATAAAAGACATATAAATATTTAAGTTTTTAATAACACTGAGACTTTGTCTGTTTCATATATATCTTATTTGTTATAATCTTGTATGAATTGATCTCTAAAGTCAGGAGTTAATTGCTTTTCTTCCTTGACTGGAGAAAAGCATAKTTAGAAAGGCAGCAGAAAGCCCTTCCTTCAGGTAATATATTCCCACTCAAAAAAGAAGAATTTAATACAATCCAAACTTTCTGGTCCATCTTCTATGTAATCATTAAAATGAACAATAAATTATGTGTTAAACACTAGTATTTGAACAGCCAAGTACAAGACAAAACTTACTGAAAACATAATAAATCATGATAAGATTTTAAATTTTCTGCTACTTCTGTCTTAAATAGAAGAGAACCACTTGCAATTATTACACAAGAAATGAGAATTGAAGAGGAARTTGGAGGAAAAAAATATCAACAACACTTGACCAATGAAAGAGAATAAAGTACAAAATCCAACATGAAGACAATGGGAAATAACATGATTCTATCGTTACCTGTCATGCGTCCTCATAAAATCCCAGAACTTCTTTGTGCCATTCTGGGGGGAAAAAAATAAAATTCCATCAGTCAAATTAATTCCAAGTGAAAATATTATTATAATGAAATTTAACAAAACTTAAGAGGCATTTCTTTGAAAACTCAGTATAGTGGGTTTTACTTGTGAGGCCACTATTCTGGATTTTGATAATAAATATTACAGACACTGAGAACTGTCTTAGGACAGTTTCAAATCTTAGATTCACAATATTGTGATGACAGCTAWCATAAGTTTATTGTAGTTTTCAGGCCCAGCATCAACTTCTGCTGCCCAATCTAACCATTCAAGGTGCCAAGAAGCTATAAACAGCCATATTTTAACCGGTAAAATAACCCATAGGTATGTACTTCCATGTCCAGAAATGGTCTTACCTTTAGAACAGCTCAGCACTCACCTCCTAACTAAACTCATGTGGGATCTAGGAACAAGACATTTTCCCTCTAACCCCTTACAAGGCCCAAAATAGGAGTTCTGTCCACACCTAACACAAGAGTCACACACCACTCCACACATCAGCTGCTCTTCTGCACTGCTGGTGGTGCTAAGGGCACTGTCTCACAGCAGGCTTGAAGTCACAGCACTCACTCAAGAACTGCGAGGCAAAAAAATGTCTGATTTTCTCAAGCTAGGCCAATTCCTGTCCTCTGACAGCTTTAAAAGAACGATATCCACTACAGCACTGCTGACAGTGATCTCAAAAACAAACATTTCTTTCACAGTTTTAATCAACATATATACACTTGCTTACATTTTTATTCTACCTTCTATAGTCACCTATAGCAATTCATACACACCGGTTAATGGAGATGCACACAATTCTTTATTTACTGGAAGTGTGATGGTTTTTTTCAGCTGAAATACAACTCAAGAGATTTCATTCCCAGGTCAGTTTTAAGTCTATGTTAGGAATCAGTAAGAAACCAGAGGAAATTCTTGTGGTTGATACCTTTTTCTTACCAGCAACGCAAAAAYGAGACCTGCTGAAGACCTACATACCTAAAATATGCTTAATGTGAAAAGTAGCACTTGACTTCTATTATAAAGTATGGTTAAATGGATGAGCAAACCCTGAGCAACTGGTTAATGATTTAAAGCAGGTAAATGTGAGCAATGAGAGAAGAATCAAGTTCAGTTGGTGGGTAAAGGTGCCAACCAATATAGACAGGCCCTTCAGCTCTATTACAGATGTCATGGCTACCAAGTACACAACAGCTGGTGGGGATTAGATAACAAGCACTCTGGTTCAGAGATTAAGCCCCTGAGCTTTATGAGTTTACCAAGCTTTTTGGAAGAGGGACTGCTTGCTTGCTAGCTGAGTTTTTCTTCATTCCCACAACTCTAATTATAAACAGTTGTTCACCTCAAGAGAAACTCTAATCCATGCTTCCATTGGTGCCTGCACATACCTTCTGTTAGCAYGGACAAGAATCAAATGTGTGCATTACAGGAGAAGCCCTGTCATTGTTTAAATGCAATATAATGTTGAAAGAGAAATAGAGACAGCAAATTCTCAGCATGAACTAAAATATTAAAGCCATTGTTTCCAAAGCTGAGTTTTTATCTAATTCATTCCACCTGGTGAGAGAGAGGGGAACAACTTTGGTAGGGCTATGATATAACACACAGTTGCAACATGTGCTGTGCTGTGTTGTAAGATAATTTAGGTTATTAAATGTGCCAGGTCAGCTCAATCTTTCTTCAGTAGGTTTATTTCTACCTGTAAGCAAGGTATTGTGGGATTTGTTGGCAGATTGCTGAGCAATTTTCCRTTTAACACGAATGAGCTGGGAAACTGTAGACCAAGGATAATGTCTTCTGTATGTAATTTCATATTGTTTCTCTAGTCTCAACCTTCCCCTGCCCCAAATCGTAAGATGTGCTACCATCATCCCTTCTCCCTTTGCAGTGTCCACTTGSGAGGAGTGTGGGTGTCCAGCTGATGGAGATGGCAAAAAAAGCCTGAATCAAGTCTCTCCTTGGACAAACTCAGGCTGTTAGCCCCGTGACACTGCATTCTAACATACAATCTCAGCAAAAACCTTCCTGGCTCTTTYCTCTTGCCATCATTTTGCAAATTATAGAACCTGATTGCTCTGGAGCACTTATGAGAGGGTTTCAAATAGCTGAGGAAAATTATACCCTAGAGAATCATCCTCATACAGATGGGATCCACCAGAATTGAATGACCTCTTCCYAAGGATGAGTTCTATTACCATTAACAGAATCTACCTCACAGATGTGCACGCCATTTTTAGCAGAAAGTAAAAGAAGGAACTTAATACATAAAAAGAAATTAATCTGAGAATAAAATTTGTATTTTCTATTCTCTAATACCAGGTAAAGCACTTTCTCTAGAACATGATTTGATTAGTTTAATATCCAAATTCAAAGCCAGCCACAGGCTACATTAACTTGAGTCTGTCTAGTCAAGACATTGGTTAATATCATATACTCTGACTGGACAATGCTTATTAAGGTATTTTCTGCCTATATTTGAATAAAAAATTATTTCATATGATCAAGTTGCACCTGTCCAAATAAATAAATCAATAAACAAATGAAACATTCCAACATCTCTTTGTTTACAGTGGCAGAAACTCAAATGAGCCCCATTCATGCCCTATTGTCGAAGTCAAATGTAATTTGAACCCAACCGTATGGAGTTGAGTTTCTATTGTACCCAATGCATGGTTCTTTCCTAACAGACAGGTAGGAAGGTTGCTAATTATTAATAGCATGTAAACAGTTACCAATGGTTCTTATGCTGCTTTACATACTTTACAGAACATTAATTCCAGACAGCTTCTAGCCAACTATATCAAGCTGTATRTAGTATCTCTATCTTATCTTTAAGACAAAAATATTACTTGCTGAATTGATCAAGATCCATGCTTTTAAAAGCCAAGCAGCTATGATTACTTGTTAAACTGTTCCACTCTATRTATCCTGGTCTTTAACAAAGCTCTGCTATCACCACAGTTACCAACAGCCAGAATRTTAAAGATATCAATGGTCAACATCACTCCTAAAAAAGGGAAGTATCTTTGTGAAACACAAAGGCTCTCGCAAATCCTTTCTTCATTTTAATAAGTATATGTAATTGCATTATTACAAGTAGTCCATTCTTCAATGTCTAATAAGGAACAATCAGAGTATCTCCCAATGCAGTGAGAGAACAGAGTATAACTGATTGCTGGGAGACCTAAACACTGACGACAGGAAGGAGAACRGATTATATTATGACATTTGAGAAAGATTTAAAATATTATTCTTCAACCAGGAAATATGTCCTGTGATGTTTATAAAGACAAATATGTCAGAAGTATTTCATACTAGTTTCAATCTGTTCAGAATAGCAGGTCTGATACTGCAACAACCTTGTGTAACACATAATCGATTYGGTAAATCTTTAATCACAAAGTAATCACACTCTAGTTCTGTGCTCAGTGATCAGGTTCTGTGATGTTGCAACACTGAACTAGTGCATATAGTATGTGTAAATTAATAAAGCTGTATTCCAGGAGAGGCAGCATGTGAGACAACTTCGTTTCACGTTACCCAGAAGACAGATCACTTACATAAGTACTAATTGCATAAGAAAGCCATACCAGGTCAGACAAGATGTCCATCTTGCCTGGCAACCTGTCTCTAAAATTTAAGAACAGAGAAAGCACACAGCAGTGTTCTACCAGAACACTCTTCCAAGTCTTTGATAAAAGGCAGCTGAAGGGTGGCAAAAGACAGCGCCTCAAAAATGCATCCAAATGAAMCAGAGTCCTCCCCAACTCCAAAAAGCAAGCACAAATAGCCATTTCTGTACTACTTGAATGTGTGAAGTGTGTCACAAGTCCATCTTGTCTGTAACACTGACTTGGTAATGGCATTGATAACTKAACCAGAATTACAGCAGCTTGCTCCCAGCTTGGCTGTCTGCACAAGGAGACTCAATGCCTTTTGTTCAAATGATCCCATGACATCCYGGCACAGCCAAGTGTTCTCTGCTAGACAAGTGTTGACAGGGGAAGAAAGTTCAGCAGATGTGACTCCTACCTGCGCAGAGCTGTTTATATCACCCATACTTGATCTTCACATTCTCTGTCCTGCTACCATCCTTGAAATCATCTTCCTAAGGCTCTTCCTGCACCTGCTCAGTGCCATAACTACAGGCAGGAGTCTCTTCACACTGTCTCTTTTGGATAAGTTGGWCTTGTCTGCMRYCTATCAAAATASCACTCRTTTTCCCACATAYCCCCARGCTAAAATGCCTTAAGAATCACTGTGCCAGGGATATTGCTRTCCTGTGCTTTCCTCCACCACCTGAGGCAATATAGCRTCTGAACAACAAGGTCAAATCACTGCCAGGATGCCTAAAGGATAACTTTACTCTTKCTTGCTAGATGAACTCACCTAAGACTCAGCCCTGGCAGGCCAATAAAGAAGAGRAAAAGGACTTGCTGTGCTAATGGTGTAGGAAGAAACATTTCCTGGCACTGATTGTATGGCGACACTGGGTGTGCTGCACATGTGACAGACACAGGACATGTTCTGACACAAGTCACTGGGAGTTTCTACTCTCCATTTAGGKCAGCTTGAATGCCTTTCTCCTTTTTCCTGAGGGCAGTGCCCATGCACAGTCTGCTACCTGAGAARTTCTTGGCCCAGCTGTCACAGGAGGTAAATGTGTCTGCACAGGTCCCAGTATTCATCAGTATTAGACTGATTCCACCCTGGGCTTTCAAAAAACCCCCAACCCAAACAAACTTATCCCCCTCAGTCTGGCTGTGGTGTACAGCCCYCCTGGGTCTCACAATCAATTTCCCTGTAGATGCAGCTTTTTCAAATTAAGGGAATAAGCTTAAACACAATTTTAGRGAGAGATGTAGGCCTTTCCTCAAGGCCTATGTCCAAGGATCTTTCCAAAGAATGGGATCTTTTTCATAAATAATTTATAATTTAATAATTTAATAATTTATCTTATTCATAAATAATTTTTGAACAAG